TTTTTTTGAAATTTTCAAATTTTGACCCGGCCGGGTTATGAAAACCATTTAATTAATTTTGCATGGCCTTATATAATGTAAAATTTTATTCTGAATAACTTTTTCTAAGCTAAAAATATAGGTTACATAAATAAAAAAAAGGTTTATAAGAAAAATCAAATTTTGCTAATGTTAGCACATATAAAACTTTTTTTTTTACTATATTTATAACTTAGTGGAAGTTGTTTAGAATAAAATTTTACATATAATACTTAAAACATAAATATAGATTAAATTAGTAAAACAAAAAGTTTTATATGTGCTAACATTGGCAATTTTTGATTTTTCTTATAAAACTTTTTTTTACTTATGTAATCTATATTTTTACTTAAAAAAAGTTGTTCGGAATAAAATTTTATATTATGTTATGTGTTATTTTATATAAAATTTTTATTTTATTAGATATAATTTTTAATTTTTTAAAAATAATTTTTTTTGGCTACAAAATCGAGCGATTTGATTGGCCAGAATCAGGTGCGACATGTCACAGATGCGACAAATTTATATTCTCTTAATAATATTAAAATAATGGTTTAAAAACATGGTTGATATTTAGTATAGGTGGGAATATATAAATAATATAAGATTATTTAATATAAAAAATAATTATTTAAACTAATTTAAACAGATTTGAGTTAGGATGAAGGTCATAGTATAGTTTTTAGTTAGCTTTAGATTAGGGTTAGAGTTTTTTTATATTAAATAATCTTATAATATTTATATATTCCCACCTATACTAAATAAAATCCGTTCATTTAAAAAGCTTATTTTAAAACATTTTTAAAATATAAAAATAATATTTTTATAATAAGAAAATTACTACATACTACCAGTGATAGTTACTACCAGTTCTAAAATTTGTTAGAATTAGGGTTAGAAATTAGAGAATTATTGTTTTTTATAATATAATATAGAGCTACTATAAGGGCCTGATAGGGCCTAATCTCAGTTCTTGTGAGGTTTTTGGAGGTTCTGAACATTTTTATTTAGAGTACCTGATCCTGTTTACTTAGTATGTTTTTGAAATATAGCAACACTAAAGTTCTTTTAATAATATTAAAATAATAGTTTAAAGGAAATTGCTAATTTACACCTCAGGTGATCATCACCTGTAGTTAATTTGCCAATTAAAATTCAGGATCAGGTATAACGTGTAAATCAATTTTGTGTAATAAAAACAAAGAATTTTTTTAAAAAACACTTATATCTCAAAATTTTGTCTATGAAACTACCTTTTAAGCTCTAACAAAAAAAATTCCTTGTCAAATTTTACTATATAAAATGCTTTACCCTAACCTCTAACCTCTAATCTTTACCCTTACCCTAATCTTAAAGATGTTTAATTTTTTTGTTTTGATAGAAATTAATTATTATTTTTTATGCATTGTAAATCACAGGTGATAATCACCTGCGGTGATTTCTAGTTATTTTCTAGTTTAAAAACATTTTTAAAAAGCTTATTTTAAAATGTTTTTAAAATATAAAAATAATATTTTTAAAATAGTTTTAATAATATTAAAATAATAGTTTAAAAATATTATTTTTAAAATATAATAATAATATTTTTATAATATTTTTAATAATATTAAAATTATATTTTAAAAACATTTTTAAAAAGCTTATTTCAAATAATTTTTAATAATATTTTTATAATATTTTTAATAATATTAAAATTATATTTTAAAAACATTTTTAAAAAATTTATTTTAAATTATTTTTAAAATATAACAATAATATTTTTATAACATTTTTAATAAGGACATTGATATATCACACCACTGGTATTTAACACTATATTTTAATTTAGTCAATCAAATCGTCGTCAATCCAAAACAAAAAAATAAACAAAAAAAAGATTACCTGGTGTTGAACACCAGTAAATTTGACCAATAAAAATAAAGCAATCAAAATAGATTTTCTATATCTACTGGGCTTGGGCCCGAATTTTAGGCCCGTAATCAATATCGGGCTTTAGTAAATTTTAAAATCGGGCCAGGAAATTTTTAAGCCCATAATTTTGGGCAAGTTCAGGCCAGGCTTGGGCCTAGACATATTGATTAATCCAGATTCAATGGATTCAGATATCCAATCCAAACCATAAAATCGGTTTGGGCCAAAAGTTTCGAATTGCCCAAATTAAGCCTAATTTTGAATTCCAAGTCAGCCATTTTACAGATTCTGGAACAAACTAAAATTTGTTTGTTTCCCAAAATCTCTTAAAACACATTGCTATCTCTGGACTGAAATTCTGAAGACAATGATGTGATTCCGAAGAGTTAGATAGTCTTTAGGCTAAAGCCGAAGAGATTTTGAGAAATGACAAATTTTTAGTTTGTTCCAAAATTTATGAGAATATTTAGCCATTAAATACTTCAGATTAGCTCCAGATTCAGTCAGTTTCAGTTCAATCCCGGATCAAACCAAAATTTTTTAATCTGAATTGGAACACTAGACATACCCGATCCATTACGGACCCTAATTGTCAACAATATAATTTGATCATATGTCATGCATGCACAATGCCCTTTTTGTTTTTTGAACAATACAATATTCAACCACAATGCATAATGATAAGGAAAGTAGTACAAGTAATGTAGCCATAAATGATTTTTTTCTCACAAATTTTTCTCTTGCGGATTTTTTTTAAGAAAAACTATCAAACTTTTCTTGTAGTGGCCCTAGTGGCGCCGAAGAATCTTTTGTTTGTGGTGACCCTTGTGGTGCCGCCAAGGAATTTGTTTGCAATAACCTTTGTGGTGTCGTTTATGGTGACTTTAACGTTGCCAAGAAGTCTTTTGTTCACAGTAATTTTTGTAGTACTGAGGAATCTTTCATTGGCGGTGACTTTCATGGCGCTGAGGAATCTTTTGTTAGCGGTAACTTTCATGATGCTGAGGAATCTTCTTTTTGTGGTGACTATTGCAGTGCAAACCATTCTATCATCTATAACCATTCTATTATCCACAACTATTCTATCGTCCATGACCATTCTGTTGCCTATAAACATTCTGTTGCCTATATTTTTGTTGTCTATAATTCTGTTGCCTATAGTTCTGTTGCCCGTAATTCTGTTGCCCATAATTTTGTTGCCTATTATTTTGTTGCTCATGATCATTTTGTTGTCTATGACAATACTGTTGTCCATGACAATGCTGTTGTTTACGACAATGCTGTTGTCTACGACCTTGGTCAAGTTCAAAATCTTGGTCAATCTGGTGTTTACGATCTCGGCCAGCAGTTATCCCCTAACTATATAGCGGTAGAACAACCTCTTAATGAGTTTTTTCAAGAGACTGAAAAAAGCACTGGATACGAGAATGAAACCGAGGCTAAAAATGGACTGTTATATCCAATTGCAGTTGGGATGGATTTTAAAAGCTGGGAAGAAATTGACAAGTAGTTTGTGCATCATTATTAGAACATATTAGTTGTAAATTTTATGATTAAATATAAAGTTATTGTGGCATTAAGACTAATGAATTTTTTTTTTTTACTATTAGATGGTTGAAGTCTCATGGGTTAGAACAAGAGTTTGCATTTACAATCACGCACAGTGACAAGAATAAGGTGATAGTTCACCTAGACGACGTACCTACACATGCTCAAGAGGTTAGCAACATGTATCTAGGAAGGAAGCCCATATCAATGAAAGTCGCAATAAGAGGCATAATTTAATCTACATAACAAAGGTTGAAAACCAGCATAACCATGAGCTTGTGAGAAATATAAATGCCCTTTTATCATATTATAGAAAGCTTACTCTAACAATGTGTGATGATATAAAATTACTAGCCAAATATGGTGGCTCTGTGTATCTTGAATTAATGAAGCAGAAGCAAAAGAATCTGGCCTTCCATGTTGATGCTCGATTTGAAGATCAGGATAATCATCTCGCAGGACTTTGCTGGATAAGACCATCTCAACAAGAGCTTTGGGCTCGTTTTTATGACATTATTCTTCTTGACACAATGGCAAAAACCAATCCTTGTAGACAATTACAATCGCTCCCGTCTTGCTGCTACGGCTCTTCTTTCTGATAAAACCAAGGACAGTTTTACATGGCTATTTACTAGCCTTTTTAATGCAACAGGGGGTTAGTACCAAGCTTGCTTTATACTGATGCCAATCTCGCTATGATCGCTGCAATAAATACCTCCTGGCCGGCGACAAAGCATTATTTTTGCCTATTTTACATATGAAAGAATTTAAAAAAACATTTTTTGAGTAAATATGGTGATGATAAGTGGCGCAAATTTTTTTTCACATTTTGTTATGTGCACAATAGTCGTATAGAATTGATTTTTGAGAACAGGTGGGCTGCGCTGTTAACTGAATATCCAGATGCTACAAATTATCTGAATTGTTATCTTTATCAGTGTCAGGAAGCTTGGGCACTTTGTTATACGCACCGGGCGTTTAATGCAGGAATACAAAGTACGCAGCGTGTCGAATCCTACAATGGAATTATTAAGAACAATGTTAATAGAAAATCATCGCTTTTAGAACTTGAGCATACAATTGAAAAATTGCTAGTAAAAGAAAGCCAGTTCGTTAATTTTAATGAGGCTATTGGTAAGCTACCTGCAGGCCATGTTGAGGATTACCATAATTATTACTTTCAAAAAATTGACATATCATGCCAACACCAGCATTACTTAAATTACAATGGTATTATCGATGCCGATTAGCTAATTTGAATTGTGAACTTGGATAACAGGTATGTATTAATTATTTAGGTTGTTCTTGGCAGAAATTTTGACAAAACATAAAATCGATTGTATTGTTACATGATACGAAAAACAAGATTAGGGCCAAGTCGAGTTAAGGTTAGATTAGGTTAGGGCTAGGCTGAGTTAAGGTTAGATTAGATTAGATTAGGTTAGGGTTAGGTTAGGGTTAGGAGCAATAGTTTAGTGAGAAATTTTTTAGAATGTTTGTTTTGAAACTTAGCTTGTTTTGAATTTTTTATGTTACACCTGATTGTGATTTTTAATTGGCCGATGGACATAAGAAAATTATATGGGGTCTTTGCCTTGAAAATCGAGTTATGGAACATAGTAAATTATATGTTCCATACTTGATTTTCAAGGCAAAGACCCCATATGACAATAAAATTGATTTTGTGTCCTGGTGTTTCAGGTGTCTTATATTATTACTTTTATTTTAGATTAACTCAAATTCACCAAGAGGCATGTTTTCTGAGGATATGTTTGATGCCTGCCTAGTAGAACTTAACCAGCTGATCTCTGGCCTTAACTCGATAAGAATTCGTGAACTATGGCATATGCACTCTATTAATAAAAAGAGTGAACATTTTGTCATATTATATGATGACATCGGGCACCTCTGTATGTGCTTAATATTGATAAATCGCGGCCTTATATGCCGTCATTTTTTCGCCACCATGCTTGTATCCCCAAATGCTAAATTCCATATTGGACTCATACCACAACGTTGGTATCAAGATTCATTTGCATTGGGGTCTGATTTTTCTTCTAAGCTAGCGATTTCAGCGATGTCATATGAGGAATTTGATGCTGTTGAATATAATACTACTAGCATTGATTTTTCACACTTGGATGACCTCCAGGGAAATCATATCTTTACTGCTAAAATTCACGAAGAGATGATTCGAAAACAGCAATGAAGAGAAGGATTTGGCCTCATGAAAAAAACATTAAATTTGGCTATTGTCACAAAGTGAAATAGAGAATGAAGTTGCAAGTCAAGTCGGATGTGACGATAATATCACTAAGTTCGCCCTTACTATCAATAATCCCATAGGTATCAAGACAAAGGGTCAGCCCAAAGATTCAAATAACGTAAATGCTGATATTAAAGAGAAAAGAAAACAGATACCTGGATCCAATCAAGAAGACAAAGAAAATAAGGCCAAAAGACCTCGAAAAATACTACAAGATGCAGAGTTAAATGTTAGTGAATCTAGTAAAACTAAAGGAAGAAAATGTGGTATTTGTAATGAAGGGGCACAATGCTCGTACTTGCTTTAGAGAGAGTTAGTAAATTGTATTTGAATTTTTAATCAATAAAGCAGTCTTTATTGTACTAAAGTATAGAATTGGAATTTAGAATGATTTTTTTGCCTTTTGGATTTGAGTTATTTGATTCAATAAATTAGAGATCGAAACTGTTTAATGATATAAAATTCACGGCTAGAAAATTTTAGGCAGTTCCAATCTAAAATTCCATTTTATAACATTTTGTATTACATGTGCAAAAGAGTAATTTTTCAATAGGCGACTTGATAGGCATGTGTCTCATGCTTTCAGTATTATACTAATTTTTTGTCAACTTTAATAAGGATTCATATTATTTCACCAACAACCACTTCGTAGATACCACATTTCACCAACAATTATTTACCAGCAGTTTATTTCACTAAGCTCATTTTATTGACATCGACAAGTCTTTTTTTTTATAAATTACACTAACTTAACTCTAATTCTAGCATGATATCGACTATAATTACTTTGTAAAATGAGCTTCGGTAAAATGAACTTGTCGGTGAATAATTGTTAGTGAAATGTGGTGTCTACGAAGTGATTGTTGGTGAAATAATACGGATCCGATCCAGAACGAGCTGTAGTCTACGTGAGCAACGAGGTGATATCCTGTATAGTCTATTTTTTGTAAACACCGGCCTTCCTTATTTGTGTTGGTAATACAAACTTATAAAGGAATAGCCGATCAGGATAAATTATGCATACATGTGAAAGAAGAAAAAGTGAAATTACAAGATTTTACATATAAGAAGTGACAATCTATTACTATAGCATCTAATGCTAATATCCTAAATCAGGTTCAAATTGGCATCACAAGATCCAGATATGAACCAATTTGAAACAGATATTTGGCCAAATATCTGTTTCAATTTTCTGTTTCAAATCGGGTTCATATCTGGATCTTGCGGTGCCGATTTGAACCCGTTTGCCTTATTTCGACTGTGATAGATTTTTTTTGTTGTTTGTATTACTGGCACAAATCTTTAAAATCCCACTCAAACCCAAATCCCATGTGGAAAATCCCAAATCCCAAACTGGACAAATCCTATTTGGGCTGACAAAATCCCAAACTCTGGCCAAATCCCAAACCCCAAAATCCAAATTATAGCTAGATTCCAAATTCCAAATCTCAAAATTCTAAAGCAGATTGATATTTAAAAAAATTAATGCCTT